GGTCACAGGGCGTTGTCTTTGTCTCGCGAGTTTCTCTACAACCTGAGGATCGTCCCTCAAGTCTATCTGAGTGCCGACAATTAAGCAAGGGACACCGGGACAATGGTGGTGAACCTCGGGGAACCATTTCTCCTTAACGTTCTCGAATGAAGCTGGAGAAGTCACACTGAAACAGACGAGGAAGACGTCTGTCTGGGGATAGGAAAGAGGGCGAAGTCGGTCGTAATCCTCCTGGCCTTGAGCAAAAGACCTCAGCGACCTCTTATCCATTATTGTTCACGGGACTCACCAGCAGTATCGAATAGCCCAAGTGTATACGGGTCGTCTCCGATCATGACCGTGACCGCATAGTTGTCAAACACCTGGAGTGACACAGACGTGTGAGTTACTAATTACGAAAGGAGCACTTATCGCCTCACCGTCGGCACATATTCGCTCGGAAATTTGTTGGTTGTATATGATATCAGCAAACAGGTCTAGCAGTCGTTGATCGTCAGCACTTCTCCCCATTGTAACTTTCTTGAAGCGCCTCCGGGTCATCAGAGACGACCAAACGATGCATCAAATACATCAGTAGCCGTTTCATCGCCGATTCCACGTCTTCTGGATGATGTATAGACGCCGTTGACGCCAGTGCCCACAGCGCCTCCAACGCGCGGAACACTCTCTAGCCTTGGCCAAAATTCATAAGAAAACTGGAAACTCACTTTACCAACGGCACCATCTCCAATAACGACGCATTTGATTGTCTGCATGCTCGTTCACAAGGCCTGGAAAACAAGACTGAGGAGTCGATAGAGGCAGAACTAGAGAGGCAGTGTTTTGCCCGTGAACGACCCAAGGAAATTAACTCTCAAAATTTCCCCATAAATTTATAAATTCTCAAAAGTCTATCAAATATTCTACTGATAGCGTAGTTGGTATGTGCCATCTCATTCCTCCGTCAAATCCACTCATCTTTGATACAAGAGTCAATATGGATCACGATCTCGTTCTAAGTGACATCGGAGACATGTTCCCGGTGATGCGCTAGCTTTCCAGTCCTTTGACTTTCTTATGCCAACCACAGGAGCCGTCACGGCCAGCCACCCCCCCAGCGACA